TGCTTTCAAGTGGCACACTGCTGGCTGGCTGGCTGCCTGCCCTTAAAAAAAACACTGAGTCACAGCATTGGGAGGGTTGGGATGGAGGAACCCACCCTGCTTTAAAAATACCATTTACTGTATATGAAATAACTGTTCTACATTAACTGTTTGATTCCTGATGAAAACCCAGACTTACATTTGAAAAAACCCACAAAAACCAAAAAACAATGCCACCATACACACAAAAATTAGCCCAGTAAATCCTGCTACTTTGGGAGGTGTGTGTGCGTGTGTGTGTGTGTGTGTGAGAGAGAGAGACAGATTCAGAACAGTCAAACGAATTCAAACAAATGTGTATATAAAAATGAAATTAACTTAAGACAATGAAGAAATACATAAACTAGCTTTGATCAGGGAAAAAAAAAGCTAAGGTGGGCTTTGTGTTCAGATTAAAATAATTAGATTGAAAAGAAGCTAAAATGTGTTCTTCAAAGTGGAGCACAACTATTACCATTTTAGAGAGAGCCATAGTTTTCTACTCAAGTGAATTCTTGACTAGTTGAAAAAATGTTTTTATATTAAGAGCAATAGAATACTTTTCATGGATTTCTGCACCTTGTTAATGAAAAGTATGTTGGAGAATCACTATTATAATTAAATTTGTTACATTATTATATTTTATACTGTTTTATATTACAGAAATATTTATTGTATGTTAAAAGATACCATAAAATCATTTAAAGAAAGACAGTCTTTATAAAATTAAAGAAATAATTTTTAAAATTTAAAGAATATTTTTCTCTTTTGAGATACTGGCCTCCCTTCCAATCCCCTCCACCCCTGCCCTCCCCTTCTCTTTTGGTGACAGGCAATCTGGTGTTGCGGAAGGACAACAGACTTACAGCCATAGCATTTAGGTTCAAATCTAGACTCTGACAGTACTGTGTGACCACAGCTGAGCCACCTGAGTCTAGGCCTCAAGTTCCTCATCTGTAAAACGGAGCAATTAATTATTGCCCTACCTTCCTTACTTAGAGAAAAGTGCTCCGTAAAACCTTAAAGCCCTCTGTAAATGTGAACTGATTTTATTTTTTCCTTCCTTTTTTAAGGGAGATGGCAACAGTGACACATAAAATCTAGAGAATTATAAGAACAACTTCATATGCATATTAACATTAAGCTCATCCGCTAGCCTCCACATCTTTAAGATATGGTTATACTTTTGTTTCACTAAAACTCCTTGAAGGCCCCTGAGAAAGATCAGGAGGGCCTCAGAGTTTCCAGGAGGCTTTAAAATAATAATAGCAATAATAAATGATAATAATGATGGACTTCCCATTAAGAATTTCTTCCAAATTACATATTCTGCTCCTCCAGGCAGCTTCCACTACTATTTCACAAGAGTAAGGAAAAGCCAAATGATATCTCTATTTGAAATAATAATGAGTAAGATAACAATAAGAACAATTATAATAGCTAACATTTATAAGGCACTTACTACATGCCAGGCATTGTGCTAAGTACTTTACAAATACTATTTCATTTTACCCTCACAATTACCCTGGGAGGGAGGTGGTATTATGAACCCCCCTTTTACAGATAAGGAAACTGAGTCAAACAGAGGTCAAGTGACTTGTCCAGCTACTAAGTATCCTAGTCAGGGTTCCAACTGGAGTCTTCCAGACTCCAGGCCCAGGGCTCTGTGCATGGTGGCACCACCTGGCTGCTATGGACATTACGATTTCCCTGGTGCCTTTTTCAAATCCAAAGACTGGTTACATAGCAGTCTCTCCTCTCTCCAAGTTGTTCTATGATTGCTGGGCTCAGGTCTGCAATATACTCACCTGTAACTTGCTTGTCTGGGAGGGAAGGGATTGGAATGGCTGACCCAAACTTAACCAGAAGACGCTCATAGAGCCAGTCAAAGTGCTTATACCTGTGGTTAACAGATCGATTAGTGTTCTGTAATATAAGAACAGAGAAAGAGAAAAACAAACAGATGAACATCACGTACAAAAAGAGTTGGAAAAATGAACCAGAAGTGTGAACAGAAAGACACTTCTAGCTTTGACAAGTGTTTGAGGCACTTACAGTGGCTGTTAATTGATACTCGATGTAACTCTTCAAACCATACATTTTGGAGCCTTTCCTGGGATCTGCTACAACACAGTCAAATGTAGAGGTGGGGTAAACCCACATTGGGCCATAATCTCCAACCTGCATGCAGAATGTCCCACAAAAAATTATTTTCATTTCAGAGAAGCATAGAGATCCTAATCAGTCAATTATTAAAAATTCTCCTTTCAGGACAGAAGTCCCTTCCAAGTAGAAATCTCTTTGCTATATACATCTCATTGAAGTAACATACATATATCATGGGTCAGATCTTTTTTCCTTATTACAATCATACTCAAAAAATGATTTATGAGTATAAATTTGTCTTTATTCTAAATTCCACATAAATTTAAGTTAGAAAGCTTTTGGGTTTACTAGTTTACCTTCACTAGGAAAGGCAACTTTAAAATAAATTTTCCTACCCTGAACTTGTATGACATAATTCAGGCCTTTGGCACACTTATCAGAGGTGGTGACAGAGACTCGGTAGTAGGCTAACGAGGGCAAACTCTGGTCATTTGCTCCCAACATGGTTTTAGGAATAGCAGACTGCTGAGAAATCTTAAATTCATTTTCCCACTTTGGAAATTCACAGAATCGCAAAGCTTAGCAAAAGATCAAGGGTGCAAGTAATGAAGAATACGGGTTTTATAATTTCTGCTCCTCCACCAAGATCCTGAGACAGAGGATGAAATAAGGTAGAAGGTGTTCTCTATCTTCATTTGGGGCTTGCGGTTATTATGATAAGGGCTTCTTCAGTCATCATACCAATATGGGGTAAGTGAATAGGGACAGCATATATCCACAGCTCCCATTCCTGAAATATATTTATTTTAGGACACACAGCTGGGATGTCCTGAGCTGTTTGGCATTCTTATCTGTCATCATAATTTGTGGATGAAATCCCAATGCTTTTTGTGTGAGCTGTGTAAATATTAAGTAAAGGACACAGACTAATATCCTCAATGGTATCATTAAATATCATTTTTTCAATTTGTTCATTTCTTATCTTCATGTTACAGATGGCTCACTGGTAAAAAAGCCTGATTACTATAGACATTAGAGAAGGTGCTGTTTTGATACTACATGTTTATTTTTCTAGGCTATAAACTCAGGCATAAAAATTAAGCTTATCAACTCATCTCAAAGGTCTGATAAAAAAAGATTTTCCAAAGTGATCTATAGTTAGTATACTCTTACTAATAGTCTTAAAAAGAGAAAGAAAACAGATCTAAACAGCATAAATGAAGGCACTAATAGCCGAATTATCTCTAGCATTCTTAAATACTAAAGGATAATGTCAGTTATTTAGGGGATGTAATTCTCTTAGTATTGAAGTTATCATTAAAACAGCTTATTTAGGAAGGGAAAAAAAACCCCACAAAATAACCAAAGACTTACAATGATGGAAATTTTCTCTTTGGGTTTTGCCATGATGGAAAATGTAACCAGGTGAAGGTTATAAATTAAAATACTTATATCAGGAACTGGAATTGTGTGGGGACTTAAAAACATTATTGAAAGCAACTAGGTGATGAGAAAATTGCTAATTTATAAAGCACAGACTCCTCCCCTGCCCCCAACCCAACTCTCCCCTGGAAATGTTATGTCATATTGGACTGGGGCTTTCAAAGTACCCATCAGAAGTATTCACAAATTCTGACGCTATTCTTCAGATATCAGCTATAGCCCATAGCCCACCTACTATTGTTGAAATAAGAAGCTCCTACTTATTTCACAAGATATAAACTGCCAGTGATCCACGGATAAATGACTCACACTAATCCCTTAACACAGTCCTCATTTGTGAAAAAATCTAAATTGTTTTTAACTTGATTTCCTTTGTTTTTTTCTCAGACAAACCAATGCAGTAACACACACATACATACACACACACACACACACACACACACACACACAGAATTTTCCCTACTCACATAGCACCATAGAATGGCTATGAAAAAAACTACCTTCTCCTGTTTCTGTAGGTCAAATAAAATTGATAGTGTATTCACTGCAGATGGGATGGCTTTGTCATGCATCAGTTCACAAAATTGGCTGCTTGGCACCGAAGATGATTTAAGTAAAACTGAAGTAATTTTCAAAATTGAAACTTAAGCTGTTTAGGTGACATGAGCCAAGAACCGTTTGTCTTGGGCCCCCAACACTTCCTTGGCTCCCATTAGCAGTTCAACTGTTTTCCAGCCGCATCAATTAGCTCAATTGTACTAGAAGGAAGAATGGATGGAGGGCCATGGGGCTCCAGTATGATTCTCTTCTCTCTCAGATATTTTGTCTGCTGGAAAGAGTAACCTGCCTAATCCAAGCATGACTTTGAAGGAATATCCTTGGTTGTAAAATGAAGGGCCTGGCCTAACACCCAGTAGTCAAGTCGTCCCCAGCTGTGTGAAGTGTAGATGACTCAGGGGCTGGCTCTGAGGCGTCCTCATGGATTCACTTGGTGAGGCCAGTCAGGAGCAGGAGTGAAGGTCATACAGAGCTCCTGGGAAACGAGAGAGGGGAACTGTTTCACTAGTGGAGAACAAATGAGAATGGGCCTCTCTTGTTCTTCAATCTATCATAATCATTGGACAATCAAACTGGAAAAACCATTCAAGATCAGCTGGTCCAGCTTTTTCATTTTACACTTGGGGAAACTGAGGTACAGGCAGAGAAAGTGATTTACCTCATCCCACCCCACCCCCTCAGACTCTGTCCAGTTGGATGACAACATATTCCCCTTGGAACAGGGAGCAATCTCTGTAGCAGCTGCACCCAGGAGGCAGCAGATCTTCACCCCAGCAGCTGGTAAGCTTCCTTTCAGCTGGATGGAGCCTCAGGACACCTTCAGTGTCAAAGCAAGGAATGCAAGTATAGAATTTCGAGGCACTAGAACTTGACAAGGGCTTCCAAAGACTGACTCACCATTACACAAATAACACAGGGAAGGATTTTCTTTTCATCCAATGAACACATTGTCCCCATTCCTTTTGTATATGAAGGAAAAAAAAAACAGCTGACTCTTATTCTGCGGTAGTTTCTTTCAGGATTTCATGCACCTGAGGTAATTGTAACAGATGAATCCTATTCAAAAAACAAACAAACAAAGGAACTTTCAAGAAAATCAGGATAAGAAGAATGTAATCTGAAACCCTTTTATCACACTCATGATGGGTGATCAGAGTAGTACTCACTTTATGACTTCATATCAGCTCTTATATCATGTTTTTACATATAATAAAAACACATTTCATGGGGGCTGTATTTTTACCCCCAACATGTGGCTTAATCCCCGTAATATTGGTCAGTTTATTCTAGAATTCCACTGATTTGCAAAACCTAAAGCAAATCAGTGGAATTCTATTTCAATATTTAGGCAAAGTGTTGTGTAGCAAGGAGACAGTAAAGTTCAGAACAGGCACTGAATCAAAGTTGATGAATTGATCATGTAGTAGAAAAGATACTGATTTAGAATCAGAAGACAGCAAGTTTTTGTACTTACTATAACTGTGTGACCTTTCTCCTCTCTATAATTCAGTTTCCTCGTCAGTAAAATTAGAGTAGATAATCTTTAGGCATCTAGATGGCATAGCACTGGATCTGGAGTTAGGGGCACCTAAGTCCATACACCAGCCTCAAACACTTACTAGCTGGGTGATCCTGGACAAGTCATTTTAACCTCTGCCTCAGTTATTCTTATCTATAAAATAATATCTATCCTTATCTATAAAATATCCCTATCTATATAATAATTGTGCCTACCTCCCAGGATTATTGTGAAGGCAAAATAAGTTAATATTTGTAAAGCATTTTGCAAACCTTAAAGTGCCATATAAAAGCTAGCTGTTGTCATTCTGATTTAACTTCCTATGAGTCTGAGACAGATTTAGACTTGATTTGTGTGTGTGTCTACATTTGTTTTTAATTCACTCTCCCAAGATTAACTCAATAGTTCAGGCCAGTGTCTTCTTCTGTGAGCTCACAAGAACATTCCCTGTGTTAACATTTTTCTTGGGGCCAGACACTGGCCTGGGAGTACAGAGTACATCATCAGAAAATCAGAATCCTGGAGCTAGAATATAGTGGGCTTTTCCCAACAGCATCCAGTCTCAGGACTTACTTCCCAAGATAAATTACTTGAAATAACTGACAATAAATAATATGTCCTCAATAGGAAAACCCTAACAACCTTGGAGAGCAGTTTGTGGGCGAGGGGGTTAGGAGGGTGGGGGCGCACATTGAATATCCTTGGCTGTGATCTAGGCCAATGCTTATTACAAATTCAAATCCTATCTATATATTGTTCGTAGCTCTTTTGTGTCATCAGGAAATTAAAGTTTGCAGCTGGCCCCTTCATCCTGACTAATCATGCGAGCATGAAACCCTTAAAGGTCCCGGCAGTGGTCCCTGCAGGGGCCCCACTCACCACTTGGGGCTAAGGGACATTGTTCTTCAGCAGAGCTGGCCTACTCTCTTCTGTCCTAAGCTCCCGCTGTTTTTAGCCTCAGCAGCCGACTGTCATGCTGCACTTTGTTATAGCCTGGCCCAAATTCCAATGTAACAGGGTCCATCCCTGAAACCTATTTGGGAAGGTGAAGAGGTGAACCAGGAAAGTACTTTAGCTTTGCCGTAGGGCAGACACACATTGGCCCGGTGTGGGCCTCCTGGGAAATTAATTGTGGGGCCCAAGGATCAGGGTCCCACAGCACACACTGGCTTTGCTATGGTTTCTCAGGCCACTTGATGGTAATGAGATAGCTCTATATGGGCTGCAGCCAGGCAGCCCCTACTTTGCCAGGGCCTCTGAAATTGATCAGACACACCATAAGACCTGAAGTTTCCTCCCTGTTATCTTAATATCCGGCATTGTTGACACCTGGTTTCTGAGATCCTTTGAATTAGTCTCCTTAGGTTACTTCCTGACTCAACCTTTTAACTGTGCCTGACCCCAAGTTCACACCCACCATGCCTGGGTTAAAAAACAAATCAGTAATCTTGGCTCCTTCAATTTCATTTCCCAGCCCACCATGTTCGCTGACTTTCTCCCAGGTTTCTCCCTGTGGCACCAAGCTTTTGGAGAGGAGCTGAAAGGTCCTACCTTTTTCTGCCTTGCTGACACTCCTTTTTTGACATTGTCACCAGCATCTCATTATCCTCTATTGCTTTTAGACTGGGCTGTGGAGAAAGAACTTAATGTTCTTTGCTTTCAGACTTCTATATTCAGACTTCTCTATAATTATTAATGTCTTTTTTTCTTCTTTGATGATTGGATTTGTTTTGCCATCTCTGAGGACTGAGGTACTCTTTCTGCAGCTTTAATATGTTGGAGACTGAAAATATCTATGCATTTTATATCTATATGTACATATGTACATATGATATACATACACACATTATCATATGCATTCTTTCAGCTGACAGGCTAGAGAAAGCTGGCATTTTAAAAACAGTTTATCACATATGTATATATATGCTATGTATGTCTAGTATATATGTGTGCACAATTGCTATATATCTATTTTAAAATACCATTACCCTTTATGTTTACCATCTGGGACATTATCTGATGAATACAAATTTTTTTTCCCACATCTCCTACAAAGTTGGAACCATTTTATTAAATTGGACCCAATCCATTTTCTTGACCTTGGTATTTTAAGAGACGGCATTTCATGTTTGGTTGCTGTTGAAATTGATCCCATTTATACCAAATAAAATCTTATAATGACAACACCCTGGCTACATTATTTATAGAATGAAGATTATGGCAGAAGAATGAATGACTCTCTAATACCACATCATATACTTATCTGGGTTTCTGAAGTGAGTAGGGGGCTGAAGGATAGATTTTGTCACAGTGGGGAGAACCTGTGGCCTTGAGGTCACATGTGGCCCTCTAGGTCCTCAAGTGTGGCCCTTTGAATGAATCCAAACTTTTAGGATTCTGTGAAGTTTGGATTCAGTCAAAGGGCTGCACTTGAGGACCTAGAGAGCCACACATGGCTCCGAGGTCATAGGTTCCACACCCCTGGAAGACATTAATCACCAATCATAGAGGTGGCCATCTCTAACCCAGGTTCAGAAACCCTGAAGATAGGTGTAAGCTGAGGTACCACAATATTCAGAAAGACACCCCTCCCTCACATTACCTTTTATTACCATTACCACATAATTTTCAACTTCAGGTGACAATTTCTGGAGGATTTTCTTTATAGAATTCAGTAAAGAGGCTGCAGAGAAATCTATCAAATCTAACTGCTGGGAGAATCACACACACAATACTACAAAAACCATTGCCAGAACATTATTTGCCCTGCAAATGTGGGAGAGACAACACTCTGGCCCTCAGATGCCAAATCCCTAAAGGAGGGACTTGTCTCATTCCAATCAGAGACTTGTCTCAAATCCAATTTATCCAATCACATGAGTTGAAT